CTCAACCAATAGCATTCGACGAATACTGCTCCGCTAGCGGAACGACGGTGGTCATTCTGAACGTCTACTGCGTTGATATTTTTGCACTTGAAACATACTTCCCGTAAATATATGTATAATGCATGACGATTGCTTTCACTACCACATTGCTGCGGTGGGTAATGGTGTCAATACTTCTTCGGGGTAGAATGGACGGTACGAGAAAATAGAACAAGACGGGTACATGAGAACTGCGCGATCGCTCAATTGTCCGACATGGTGCAGGCGTGGCTATTGATGTTTACTGTAAAGTTGACAGCTCAGGTTACGTACTTCCGTTGCAGATATGACGTTAACCTCGTGTCTGCCAAGTAACACAATTATGATTACTGCCATTCCTCTGTCAATCATGGTTTTTATGTGGTAAGGAAACTGTTGGTGGCAAGTAACGTAGGAGCCACAAGGTAGAGATGTTTTCATCACCGAGTCCCGTTGACGACTTCGACATTTCGCTTCAGCCGTTATAGCTTCAGTATTAGCGTATCAGATATTGAGTGACCCCAATCACGTATGCCGCCATTTGCTGCAACTTGGCCACAACACGCAGCTCAGGGGTAACTGCTTAAAATGGAAGGAACAATATAGCCTCTAGAGTGTCGACGGAATTACTTTTACCTTTTGGTTTGCCAACCCTGGAACGCACTCTCGGACTCATTTGTATCCTCTCTTACCTTGGACGATTTTAAAAAATCGATTAGATGTTGCTCTCAGCTCCCAGCATTTTGTCACCTAAACTCTTCTATTGTGGATTACGCCAAACATGCTTTTCAACAGGATTTATGTATCAAATGGACTTTTCTCACGCCTTACGTCAACGATCACTTTACCCCAGTGTCTTACCGAACGTTTGCGATCGATTTTTTAATTTTACACTGATGTAATTTATCAAAGTATTTATCTAGGCAGACCTTCGGAAGATGGCCCAGATACATTTTGATTTCATCATATTCACCCCAACCATCCTACGGGAGGTGTCAAGCACTTGCTTCTATCCCGTGACAAATCATTGTTCATTGTTCAATATGAGGCACCTGCCCAGTATGTATAACGGTATGAGATTATCTAAACGAGGCGTTCGGTCACCGGTGAATCGATCTCGGCAGTCCAAAGGATTGGCCTGCACGGTCACCAGCTTTGAACCTTTACATTTCTTCCCATGTGGTTATTTGAAGAGAAGAGTTTACAAGCCAACGTCTATTCCACTAGAACAACTGAACAGCAGTATTGCCAACGAATGTCGCGTCATCAACACGGAAACTTGAAAAAATGTTATAGCCTATAGAGTCAGGCGATTACCACACTGCAAACAGAACGCCAGCGAGCACGTTGAGCATTTTCTTCGTTGACGGACATCTCGCAGTTTTATGCTGTTTATGTTAATATCCGTATTCACCGTTATCCCTGATTTCTGGACTAAATTGGTACACGGGCAAATGGTGCCAAAGAGGCGTCAGGCCAGAATTCTTTCAACGAGCAAAGCTGATTCGACAGCGCTTAGACTAACCACTTCTATTCAACTTGGTACACAAAGCCAATACTTATTTTTCATAGTTATGCCTAAGGAATATGGGGAGGAAGTGAACGAGATGGTGCTGTGAGAATATGCTACGCGGCGTCGTGTTTTTATTGTGTTTATCGGCGTACAGACACCGTCGTGGATGAGTGCTTCTAAACAATAACATCCCGGTCACATAAAAGTGTAAAGCATGATGGTCCAACGATTTTTCAATAAGAATACAGACCATGAAGGCGTGGCTTGCTGGTCCTTTCGAATTTGATTTTCGGAGTTTGCAACGCTGTGTCAGAAAATTTACCACAGTGATGAGTGGCTTGTAATGGACATTATACATGAGTACCCACATGCCCAACGATTTGTCAATCAGTTTTGTGAGCCAATAAGCTTCACGTCTTGGAGAATACGTGAATCTCAGTATCCGCGAGGATTAGATATTTCCTGAAAATGCAGGTTCTCAGTTGCATATTAATGGCATATCCCTTCATCAGTGAATATGTAGGCATGAACGCTCAAGACTGTGACAGGTGAATAGGCTATGCGGCAGCGAGTAATCATTAGGCGGCATAGCATTTTAAAACCCCGTTATCCAAACTTTACATTTCATAATTGCAAAACCTAATTGTAAGAATGCCTATTTTGCTAAAGTGGGTTGTTGGAAGCTAACTTTCAGTCTACAAGAGCAGTGCCAATAACCGTTTTGTCATTAGATGGGATAACACTAAGCACCTATTGAACATTCCTTGCTGAGGTCAGTTAGGCCTGTCCAAATGTCACCACAATTCTACCGTAGTAGCCCGGTAATGATGTACTGCTGTTTTGATTTTGCACGCCTGCATTCGTTCCACGCAGTCCGAAACACGGTATGTGTCGATCGGTGAACTTACCCTGAGGCGTGCAGTCGTTGACTTCAACCCAACCATGCGCGCTCATCCAGCGTTTTCACGGTTGACAAGACTAGCAAGTACACCTGTACCCAGATGCATGCCTACGACCATCACTCCGGTCGTTCACACTCATGTGACTGGGTTAGGGATATTTTTAGCTAGACCAACGTCTACTGTTGTACAGTTGGCAATTTAATGCCCTCCCCTTTCACCCGAAATCGTGATGCTTGCTCCCGGGTAACGGAATGAAAAGTGACCAGACTTCTGAGACTCACTCTATGTGCTTGAGACTCTTGGGAAATTGCAATATTCATCGCTAAACGTGATACATTAAACGTTTTATTTTGACTTCTCCCTACCGTGATATATTTGCCATTTTATTGTTTTTGCGAAGATCACTTCTAACCTCAGCCATGAATATCCTAAAGAAACTATAAATCATTTTGCTGCTCTCTAATAATCAGTAAGTACCCTGTTTCTTACGTGCTGCTTCAATTGGCGGCGGCTCGTGAAGAAAATCTTGGCTTTGGGGGTCAGCCCATTGGCTTGAGTCGCTGGCTCGTGAGAATAAATTCATATGTTCGAATCCAGCACAATTTGGAAGGTGCGCGCCTTGAAGAATCCCAGTAGGACGAAACGACCGCATTTTGCTTCACTTTATGTGTGGTGGCAGTGTGGATGATTATTACTGAGACGGAGGTTCTCACGACTACAATAACCCCCTACCATTTACCTAGGATCCGTAATCGCCTTAGAAACTCAGCTGAACTCTCGGTTGGTGGCGGCTTGCGATGGAATTCGTATCTCCAGAGGCTAGCCCCTTCCTCTGCAAGTGCATAACATTCATGGCTGTAGAGGATGAACAGCGTTATATCCTAGTTAAATATCAGTCATGGCAGACCGCTGCCGTCACACATTGCTCAGTGACATAAATCGCTGGCTCGCGGTGCGCGCCACTGACAAGTCCCAATAAGAGGAACCGGACGTCTAGTGTCTTCCTGGATGTGTGGCGACTGTCTGGCTGAGTCTACTCTATACTATGCGCTAGGACCACACTTGTTCCTCCCGTTGTGTAATGATAGTTGCTCTTTAACTGGGTATGTGCATAGTCCTTTGAACTGATTAAAACGATCGGGTATTTTAATGCAACTTTATTATCATCAGTCAGTTAACCATTGCAGTCTCAGAAAAAGGACGTTTCATTATTTTGGCAATTGTTAGCGGTGCGCATTTCGCCTGACCCTTGTGATGTTAGGGCCCGAGACCGTACGCATGCGCGTCTGTGGTTTAAATCCTGGAGGAATTTTGTGACGGGCGGTGAGGGTCATGACTATTTTTCGACTTGTGACGTATCGCGCATACTCATTCTCCACCTCGGTGCATATTGCCAACGAGCAAATGACGGCGTCGGCTTACTGAACCCAAAACGTCCGTCGCTGGGCATCCGTCATCCGATATCCAGCTTAGGCAGTTATTGAATTTTAAGGAATAACGGATGGCGTGATTTGCATAGAATGTGTGTTGTGTTGGCCACATGTAACATTCATTGTCAGAGGTTCACTCTTCCACGATCTTAATGTAGCTCGTGAAGTCGGGGTATCTCTCAGCACATGCAGCTGTTCAGTTGCAGGTGAAGCATAAACTGTTTCGAACAGTGGGATTGGTGCACGAGTTGCTTTCCAAACTTTTATGATCACCGTCAACACAAGTCTCTGTACATAGTCACTGGGTCGATTCTGCTATTTACTAAGTCGTCCATCTTTGACAACACACATGCCGATGTATACATTTGCAATGATTGAGCCATAACGTGTTCAGTGGGCGTGAATAGTTTCACGTTGATAATAAAGCCACCCTGGCTTGATAGTTGTCACAGCCAATGAAATCATTGGTGTCATTCTAATAATGGTCAGCTGATGAGATTTCCGGTTCTGGCATTTCAACCAATCAGCAAGCGAATTGTGCTATGCTGTCCAGTTTTGTCAACCAGTGGATTCACTTATCCACCTCTTCATATGTGCAGTGATCGCTTTTCTACAATTTTCGAACGCGTGCGTGCATTTTCCGTGTCAGTTGTTCCCTAACGGGAGCGACGCTACATTTGCTTTTCCGTTACTCAACTAGTTTCAGTTGTGCTCCAGCGATCAAGTGCGTTTCATTGTTCTGCCTTATAACCACCACACATGTCTGCCAAAAATGGTCTAAATGCGATCTCTTCACAAAAATGGATTCGTCCATTTTCATCGGAGCCATTTACATATCTACGCCTTATTGTGTAGGTCTAACGTTGACGTCAGCAATTAGTGCTTAATTTCCTCTTGTTGCTCTTAAAATATGGCTGCTTTGGTTTGGTTGACTTTAGCTCTAGCTATTAAACCGATCAAGGCCAGCATAATGTAGTCGAACATGTTCACTAAGTGTCAATAGTTTGGCTTTTCGCTTACTTTTGTTCACCGAGGTGTACCGGTCAGTACCGGCTTGCTTATCATTCTGAACACATTGATCACGGCTGTCTTCTTCTACAGATGACAACTTGTGATTTGAACCGCTTGTCTAATTGAATGAGTGCATCGTCTTCGCTAAAATTGCTACTTTTTGGAGAAGCAAAGGAGGTCGCAGGTTTTCAACACACCGTTCTACAAATTCCCACATTATTGACAGCAAAAGAGCTGAGAGAGTTGATTTTAAGACAAATACCTGGGTAGGTCAGCTTTCAGTCTTTCTAACCGTTCCAAAAAGACTGCTTAGGCTAGAAGATACATTACTTTTTGTGCTGGATCTCGAAACCCTTGATTGTGGAAATTCGCATGACGTCCTGAGGATCGGGACAGCAAGTGAATTAGCGATCCTACCACCTTTTAGTGGAGGTTAGACTTGTAAAATCGCTTTGATAGAATTTCCTGATATTTTCCTCTTCGTTGTTATTTGTTTTCAATTGCAGGATGTGTTTTATCTCACCTTTGATGCAATAAAACCGAGTAATATTATCGAGCTAGTTACCGATCCCTCGTGTGGTGCAATCTCGGCATTTTTCGGTAAGTTCCGTTGGTGGTGTAAATTGGCTCACAAGGTACCACACGTGCATACGATGACAATCGACTTGTAGTACGGTTGGAATATGAAGCCTATGAATCGATGGCCTTAAATGCGCTGCAGTGTATAATTGAAGAGGTGCGCACCAAATTTCCTTGCTTGAAACGGATAACAGTTGTGCACAGATTGGGGTGAGTTCACGGAATATTTTGCAGTGCCGCTCGGTAGCGAATAGTATGTGGCGCTCTGCAATCAGTTACTGCATCCGGCATATTACCTTTGGTTGTAATTTTGTAGAAGGTATCGGTGGTGCGCCTGTAACTCACACCGACGCTTGGTTACCACGCGGGAGCAACCATTAGTCGCGCACTAGCTAGAGATACCTCGAGGTCACCGCATCTAGGATGACCCGAATTGATGATTTGTGAATTACAGGACCACCGGCCACCAGTAGACATCGGTAGTGATGCTAGAGTACGTAGCTCGTAACAAAGGGTCTCAAGAAATTACTCGAATGAAGTGCCGTCCTTATCGCGAAACGCTTCATATTAGGGACAACGGCGCGACAATGACGAAGGAGCCTCCTGTGATTTAAATGTCACCAACTGTGGTAGAATTATCATACATACACACACCCAGGCCCACAGGAGGATCTGCTCATGCCATTTCCGATAATTTTTGGACCTGCCATCTGTTAGTTGGTGCAATTCGAAGAAATTTCAGTTAACAGTATGCAAACCAGGGACCGGGGCACAATATTTATGAAGATGGAGCCGAATGCTTTGGAACCTTGATGGCCCCCGTTTATCCTATGTGATAGTTTTCGACAGCAGTTACACAGAATAGGGGAAGTTAATCAAATATGTATACACATCCTTCACTGAATACGACTCCACATCCTTTTCTTACGCAGCTTTTGACGCTGATGTCGCTTTTCCTTAGGTTAACCTGAATAAGGTATAGATATAATAATGAAAGTAACAATAAAAAGAATAACAATCATGGGTATATTTCTCTTTAAGTGAAAAGCTGCATCCATATTTGGCGTAGATCAAATCTGTACAGTTAGTACCATGCTCCTTCATGGGAAATAGGAAGAGGTGGTGAATAAGAAACAAAGGTATATCAGTTGTCGGTGCGACGTACAGTCCAACAAGATATTACGATTCTTGGTGTAAGGCAACGTCGCAAGAAGCAGATGTGCTATTGTTTGAATTTTCCAAAGCGGTCTTCAAACATTTTGTGGAACTTGGCTATTTGGTCGATTAAATCTTTTGGGAAAATGGTGAGGTTTTAAAATATAATAAGTGTAGATAAATACACGGTATAAGTGAAATAGTACAGTCATTACTGGGATCACCTCCTGGGGACCTGTTTCTATGCGGGTTATTCTCACGATGGGTTTCACCCACACTTCCATGCCCTAACTGGCTGTGTGCCAGTATTCCTTTCAAAGCACGTAAACCATTATCCTTAGGGTTGTTTTTCTGTGTATATAACGTGGACAGTCAAGCCACTTAGCCCGTGCCAACAGCCAGTTATTTTAAGTAAAGCACTTTGTTATCGCTAGGGAACCAGTGGCAATGTGTTTTGCATGGGTACAATTATTAGCGTTGGAAGCTTAAATCCGTCTCCTCACGAGATCGACCCAGTCGTGCTCAACAGTGAAGTGAAGAAGAATATATAAAAGATTTGTGAAAGAAAGGCAGAGCGACCAGGTCGTAAGGAAAAGTGTCAAAAACGGATGACTGTTCGAAGTATCCATATGCTAGACAGTATATTAATGAGCAAAATTTGAGTAGGGGACGAATACGGATTGTATACAGTTCAATTTCGGATTTATTCAAAATAAAGCACTTTAGTATTAGCCCTTCTAGTTTATGGGCGTTTGCAACCGTGTACTTTACCTGTTCGGTGAAATTGAAGGAGCTCGATTAGTTTATCACAAGATTACGAATTATCAGACAGGTGGACAGGGTTTCGCCTTTCAAGATAAAAGAAGTTGGTGCAAGACTGCACCGGCATTGTATATGCAATTGCAGTTCTCGGATGAGAGCGTTATTTTCCAATCGCCAAACCAAGTCTCCAGCTAGTGCTCATCCACTTGTATGTCGGCTAGTGCGCTAATGAAATTGTCCAAATCGAACTCAGACAATTTTAATGTCATCTGCGAATACAAATGGTTTGGCGTGTTTGGTGAAATCGAAGACGTCGTTAAAGAACAGCAAAAACAGAAGAGGCCCTAGAAAACTTCCTTGGATCACGTCACTTGTAACTTACCTACTCGTGGGAGTATTGCTTAGTATTTCAACTGCCTGATGCCGGCCAGAAGGGTACTAAAATGTCCAAGTATGTACATTGTCATGTATGCAGGTGGAATGTACTTTCTATAGAAGATTTCCATGTGGTATCCGATCAAATGCTCTATGTATACCAAGAAATCTGATGATCAGAAGTTTACCACGGTCAACGGAACGAGCAACGAAGTTTAGAAACTGTACTTGACAAGTAATAAATTAACATGTTCTCAGAAACCCGTGCCGGCAAATGTTAATCAAATTCCAGTACGATAGGAATGCAACAAGTTTGGCTGCTATTGCCCTTTGCATTGTTCTACACGGAATGCAGGTACGGCTGATGGGCCGATATCTCGTTTGTAAGTGACGTGGGTCACTTTATATTGTGGTGAAACCAACGCATATTTCCACACATCTGGAACAACCCCAGGTATCATGGATAACGTAAAGAGATCTCGAAGCAGTATGGAAATATCAGCGCCTCCGAATTTGTGTGTAGCAGACGGGATCCCATCCGGGTCAGGATAAAAGCTTGTTCGCATTGAGTTTATCAGAGTCCTTATGTCCGATTGATCAAATTCAGCAGTACAGACGTAATCGGCAGTTTTACGGGAAAAGTTTACCATCGGTACCACGCACGGCTCTGTGAAAAACGATGAGAATTATTCATTGAAAACCTCACACATCTAAGCCGGGTTTGCAGAAAGGTTGTTGTCGGGCAGTATAATCGAAGGTGGCATATCATGCTTGAAGTTGCTGCTGAGCTGCGATAGTCTAGTCATGTCCCTTGGTTTATTGGAAGAGGATAATGCATTGATCTCATCAAGGAGAAGTTTCGAGGACCGATTTATTTCTAGGGATGATATTATTTGATTTTGCTGTATCACTAGTGTCTAGAGTGGCTAAACGAAAACGTTACGGCTTTAATGTTTTGTTTCCAGGTGAAGTCTAACCTTCACGAAGTTTCTTCCTACGCACCTATGCGCTAGCGTGTAGAGAGCGATATGTGTAACGTCCACTTGACACGCGTTAAACGTAACTCAGCCATCTCAACTGGCTCAACAGGACAATCGTACTGAAGGGTAGATTCGTGTCTTCCTGGCTATGACGTATAATTTCATTGTTGCCTACGCTTTATGGCTACCTCATGCAGGCGGCCGTCCACAGTCGTCGATTATCGGACACAAAACTGTTACATCCGATTCATACGAGCAGGCCGATTCGCATCCACTTAACGGTTCACAGTGAACAATGACTTCATAAGGCCTGCACTTTAACGTAATACCGAAGAGAGTAGACTGGAAGGCATATATCTGTGTTGCCCCATCAATATGACATCGGACACGTGAGCTGACTAAAATTGTTTGGTACCACGTGGTGCCAACGCAGTTCGGTTGTGCGATGCGCTCTCGAAACATGTAATCCACAGAGTGGGTGGCTAGGAAGTTCTTTAATTCCGACACCGATATCGCCTGAAATGTAGTCTCGTGTAAACTGTCCCAACGTTTCACCACTCGGTGCTCGAAGTATAGAGAGCGAGTTGTACGCTCTAGATCGAACTTTTACCGGGATCCGCTAGTGCCGCTTGGTACAAGCAGGTGTAAAATCGACGTTGTCATAGGAAAGTCGCCCAGATGTAATATCCGGTGCGTCATTGTGAGGTCAATCCGAAACCGACGATGCGACAAGGCGTACAGCTCCATTCGCCTACATCAAATTGTTTACGACTTATCTGGTAAACTGGGGCTGAAACGGATAGCTACATGTAGGACCCAGACAAGCTTTTGCATCTCGCCACCGGTTATTGGACAGTAGGCTAGTGAACCGTGCTCTAACATGATCTTGTGATGGAAGAGAACAGACGAATGACTGTGTCTTTAAATCAATTGCAGTAGCTGCGTTTTCGTGCGCAAAGCATGAGTAATCCGACTGAGATTCGTCCAGACAACACAGTAGATGTCTCAAATTTGCAATGTTGGTTGGACCAGACTACTTGCTGGCACTGTCACCGGTATACACGTAGCTTATCACGCAAACAAAGCGCCATCATTCCATTCAAGCTGTGTGTCTTCTTGACTGGTACATGAATAGAGAAGTATCAGGACTGCTGGTTCAGTTCGGTTCAATTACACGGCTATATGCCGCGTACTGAATTGTGGTAGATTCAATAGCTATGATTCTCGTTGCCCGTAAGACAAGAATTACTAATGACAAGGAAACGGAGGTAGAGCGCATCTGGCGCACAGTGTCGCCGAGTACTTGGCATGCGTTATTAAGCGACCAATGTGAGAAACTGAATGCATCCGTGCCATGCCGGATGCATACTTCGAGCACTGAGGGGGCTCATCGCGTAGCCGCTATATACGAATTGGACAAATACCACAAATAAAGTATACTAATGTATACTCTTTCTTTGTAAGTCACATTCGTCATGAGTCTGAATGCGCATGGCTGCTTGTGTTGCTTAGGATTCCCGAAAGAATGAAACGGCCGTACTGGGCAATGACCGGATTTTGCTGGTTGTCTGACGCAGTCTAAATGTGATGAATGTCTACCGCTCAACTTAGCATACTGTAGGGAGGGGAAAGGCAGTGATTGCCCGGAGGACAGAAAGACCACTAAAATGGGGGCGGACGGAAACGGGAACAGACGTAATGAAGGAAAGCGGACGGAGCAACCTTGACCTGACGGAGCGAGACGAGAACGGGGCACCAGCGGCATCCGGTAGTGAGCTTGAGCCAGGCAGAACGGAGAGGGTATTCGTTGAGAATGCGATAAATAAGACAAAACCGCCGTTATTGCAGTCTACGAACCAACGCCAAGTAGAGGGATGAATCCACGTTCAAGCAAATCACGAGCCATCAAACGACCCCGGGGGTCAGAATGGGACGCCTAGAAGCGGCGATACAAGGGTGAAGTGAGCAGGGAACACTCCATCACGAGGCCCCCAAAGTTCATGGACGTGTCGCCAGTGGAAGCCAGGAGAGAAGGCGCTTAGTGGAAAGGAAACTTGACTCGTTAGCGTACGCTTGTGATCCCGCCAAAATATACTGTGGTTCATTGCCGCGTCGTTCTTGTTACAATACTACATCCTTGAATTCAAACTTTTATTGTGTTCGTCGCAGTAACTTACAAGCCAGATGGTCTACCACTAATCCGGACTTGCACCAGTGAACAATGATTTTATACGGGTTAACAAGCACTGCTTTACAAGCCTTGTTGGGTAGTCTGGTGGGTCATCAAAAAACGTTAATGAAAAGATGTAGTTAGTAATTCTGATGCCAAAATAATAGACTTATCATATGTAATGCAGTAGTGCTGCGCTCCGAGTGTTTCCATAGCTTCAGTAGGCGAAAAACAGAATTCCAAGGTATTTCCCGGTAGTAGGACGGAGAGTGGTGTCAAGTGACAAAATGTACGTGGCGGAGTGCGTCATTCAAACGACTTTTAAATATGGATAGCGTGGGTGCAGAAACAACTGATTCGGGGAGAGCAGCCCATGGTTGAAACACAAGAATGGAAAAGAAATTTCTACCGCATTGCTAATTTCAAGGATGGGTCTCTAAGCTTAGTGTTATTGCTAAGTTGCAGTAAAGAGTGGCACACGTGATTTGGATTAAGTCAAATCAAGTACACCATAATCATAATCGTAGTCGTAGTCGGCGATACCGCCCCAAACGTTTCAGCCTCTGCTCGTATGGAAAGCGGCGCATTCCAATGACGTATTTAGAAGCCCGACGTTGTGATTGGTCCAGTGCAGTAAGGTCGTGCCCCAGCCATGACTGCCTGGCTTGGATTGCTTCTTCTACTTGGGGCGAACATACGCATTCAGCATCTGTCTGAAAATAGAGGTGCCTATTTGTCCGAACGCCCGTCGTAGCAAGCCGAAGTGCTGGTTACTAGTTTTCGATTCCTTTGCGCATTGCTTGGAACAACCCGTTATCCTGAGCAAACACGCCAAGGTCGCGTTCGAAGGATGCTCGTTGCAGTAATTGCGTCCCCAGCCTGTAGGAATAGTTGCTCTGACATCTTGTGGAGAGTATCTTGCATTTGCCAACGTTGAACGGTAGCAGATTTCGTGTTGACCACTCATGTATCATATCTAGGTCCTACTAAGCGAATTCTGTCTCGTCTGCCTGAATCCGGCGCCATATCTTGATATCGTCAGCAAACATCAGGAAATTTGAAACGATTTTCCATGGAAGATGATTGCTGAATAACAAAATAATCGTAGACCTGGAACTGAGCCCTGGAGCACACCAGCCTCGACTGGTATGGGTTCAGATAAGGAACTCCGGACTCTGACCACTAATTGCCGTTTCAGAAGAAAGTTGGCGATGTAACTCGAAACCGGTGACCGAGACCGTAATAGTGGAACTTGGAAGGGTGAATCCGATAATCTAACCGATCGAATACGTTGAACAAATCTAAGTAGATCACATCAACAGCATCTCTAACATCAGCTGACTCGGTCCAACTACTCAGTGCGATTAATACCTTCGTTGTGTATGATCGCTGTCGATGAAAGCTTATTGCTCGGGAGCAATAATCATACAAGTTTATAGAAAACCTTCCAACGCATCGGCAAAGATGGATTCCATGACCTTGGATAATACAGGGAGCAGGGACACTGGGCGGTAAATGAGCGCTCAATCCTGCTTCCACGTTTGTGGACCGGAGTTAATATTCCAAAATTCTACATCACAGGAATCTGGTTTCGGTCTAAGTAGCATGGAAAGAAATGCGCCAAAGTGTTGGCCAGTTGTTTTGTTGCCGTTCCCATTGCCACTAGGCAAATGGTGTCGACTCCCTCAAAGCTGTCTTTGCACAGAGACGTCAACTTCGACAAAACAGTTTCGGGAGTAAATGGAAGTGTCTGCGTCCTGTATAATAGAGACGTAAGCGGATCTGAATTTGGGTATCGTCTGCCTCAGTGCGGTCGATCAGGCGATCGATCGAGTAGGCCAGTGAGTTTAAAGCGCGAAGCGGGATCGGTACGCTTTAAAACCAATACGCGAAAATAAGGCCAACCTCCGATGAGTGGAGAACACCAAAAGTAACGCTAGGAAAAATTTATTAAGTGGGCGAAAGGCTATCTAGTGCTAAAAATAAGGCACCGAAAGATAGCTAGCTAGGGAAAGGTGTGGTCGCGTGCGCGGAGAGCAAAGATGGCCGCGGAGCCGAGGAGCGTCGCGCCGTTCGAAGGCGGATGCTATGTTGACTCAAACAAACGCGAGCAACGTTCAAACAGGCGAGCGGCTATTTTGCTATGTACATCGAGAAAATATAATTTTGTGATTTTGTAATATTTTACGCAGCATGCGGCAGCCAAACAGGGGAATCTCCAGGTCACTACACAGCCCCCCTCTTAGAAGGGAACCGTAGGTGACCCTTCGATCTACGTGAGGACTGTCCGTCGCCGGCCAGCCTTCTGCGAGACCAGGCGGTGAAACCTGATGCAGCTGCTGGGGGAGAACCAATGCGATCGGACGCTAGGGGGGCTCCCACCCGTGTCCTCCCTACAGGTGCCAAAAACACAAAATGGGGGAAATGTTCGTAGCGTTCGAGTGCGTAGTGTCAAAGCACACGATGTTTGAGCACGTAGTGTCCGCAAACGTAACGTTCGATTATCGTTGAACGTCCGCGTGTCGGGGATATGAAAAAGAAGCGGAAACGCGGAGTGTCAAACAGGTGCGAGCGACAGAGCTAACAAAAGGCGATAGCACTTACCGAGTGCGATAAGCGAATAAAGCGAGAACCATTTTGTGTTTTCAAAACGATTTTCTCCTTTTTTGGGTTTTCAAAACGTCTTTGCGGTTTTTGGGGTTTTCAAAACGCTTTGCAAATTTTTTGGGTTTTCAAAACGTTTTTGTTGGGCGGGTTAGGCCACAAGCAAAAAGGAAGCGGGAAAAGAAGAATGAAAAGAAGACTAATCTTTTAATCGCGCTGGCCAATGAACCCGCCTACCTGACCTAGTCGATTTCGGACGTTCGGTCGGAGGCGTTGTCGATCCAGCAGTTTTGTCGGATGAGGACGCTTTCGGCTCGATAGAAACGTAAGGAACTGAGTCGGAAGGGTTAGTCGGAGAATGCTTCGTAGCATCGGAAGTAGGCGTGTCGTCTATCATAGGCTGCGTTGACTCGTCCGAAGGTGGACAGGAGTCATCGTCGATCTCAGGTTCCACATGGGCAACCTTGAGACGGTCGATAGAGACAGTTTCACGTTTACCGTGGCGGTCGATAACGAATACGCGGTCCTTACGTTTAAGAACCTTAAATGGACCTTCGTAGGGTCGTTCGAGTGGTCTGCGTAGACCATCGACTCGAAGGAAAACGTAAGCGCAATGCAGTAGATCTTGTGGAACGAACGATTTACGTCGTTGTTCTCGCACGTCGGTTGCTTTGATATGGCGCATGCTCGTGGCTAACTGCCGAGCGTAATTCGCGTCGTAGCGAGGTGTTCTAGGGTTTTCAGAAAAGAAGTCCCCAGGTAGTCGAAGAGGTTGTCCATATACCAATTCGGCGCTGGACGTGTGCAAATCAGCTTTAAGAGCTGATCGGATACCAAGTAGTATCATGGGCAGTGCTTCGGTCCAGCTTAGTGCATTAGCGGCACTAAGTGAGGCCTTCAGCTGTCGGTGGAAACGTTCCACCATGCCGTTGGATTGCGGGTGATAGGCGGTAGTCCGGATGCGTTGACATCCGAGGACTTTGAGAAGATCGTTGAAAGTCGAGGATTCGAACTGCGGACCGCGGTCGGTAGTCACGGTGGCTGGACAGCCATGTGAAGCGACCCAGCGCTCAACAAAAGCGCGCGTTACGGTGTCCGCGGATACGTCGGGTATAGGTACGGCCTCGGGCCAACGGGTGTATCGGTCGATCATGGTCAGAATGTAGACCATTCCTCTGGATGGTGCCAAGGGTCCAACTATGTCGAGATGGACATGGGCAAAGCGAGCTGAGACTTGCGGAAAACGACCAAGCGGAGCGGACACGTGCCGCTGTATCTTGGCCTGCTGACACGTTAGACAACCGCGTGCCCAGCGCTTAAGATCGCGTTGCATTCCGGGCCAAACGTATCTCTCGGATATGAGCTTGATCGTGGCTCGGATGCCTGGATGAGCGATGTTATGAAGTGTGTCGAAAACTAGACGTCGAAAGGTTTCTGGAACGACGGGTCGAGGTCGTCCAGTAGAAGTATCGCACAAGATTGTGCCATCAGATGACGGCAGTGGATGCGGTGTGATTCGTAGCGAAGAATCTTGTTTGACGTTCTGACAGTCAGTGTCGTTTAGTTGCGCGGTAGCCATGGCAGATAAGTCGATTGCCTGGCCAGCGGTGTGGATTGCGGAGACGCGCGAAAGGGCGTCAGCAACGACGTTATTCTGACCAGAAATGTGTCGGAGGTCAGTAGAAAATTGAGCCACGAAATCCAGCTGACGAACCTCACGTGGTGAGTGTCGAGCTGATTGATTTCGAAAGGCGTAAATAAGCGGCTTATGATCGGTGAAGATAACGAACGAATTACCTTCTAAGACGTGCCTGAAATGTCGGACGGTAGAATAAACTGCCAGCAGTTCGCGGCTGAACGTGCTGTACTTGGCTTCTGCCGGTTGTAAGCGTCGGGAGTAGAAAGCGAGTGGCTTCCAGCATCCCTCAGTGAATTGCTGCAGGACGGCGCCAATGGCGGTGTCCGATGCATCGACTGCAACGCTGAGTGGAGCCTTCGGGTCGAAATGGTGAAGCATAACGGCTTCGGCCAAGGCCTCTTTGCAGGCCTTGAAGGCTTCGGTTGCAGCGGGCGTCAATTCGACATTGCCGTTCTTGCGTCCACGAAGTAAGTCGGTCAATGGACTGAGCAAGTCGGCACAACGTGGCAGAAATCGACGGTAGTAGTTAATCATCCCACTAAAACGGCGGATGGCGGCCAAAGTAGTCGGAACGGGAAAGTCCTTAATAGCGCTGACTCGGTCTTCGAGCGGCCGTATGCCATGCTGGTCAATTCGATGACCAAGAAATTCGATAGATGGTTGCTGAAAGATGCATTTGTCAGCGTTGACAGTAATGCTATTAGAAGCTAACCTCTCGAAAAGCATCTTGAGGTGCTTCGCGTGCTGTTCTTCGGAAGAACTAGCTACTAAGATGTCGTCTATATAAGGATAAACAAAGTCGAGACCTCTGGTGACAGAGTCTATGAAGCGTTGAAAAGTTTGAGCTGCGTTACGAAGACCGAAGGGCATTCGCAAGAATTCAAAAAGTCCGAAAGGCGTGATGACTGCGGTTTTCGGAATGTCATCCTCGGCTACAGGGATCTGGTGGTAAGCGCGAACCAGATCGATCTTCGAGAACACACGGGCGCCACGTAGGCTAGCCGTGATGTCCTGAATGTGCGGAATGGGATAGCGGTCGGGGACGGTAGCGTTATTAAGAGCGCGATAGTCGCCACATGGACGCCAGTCTCCTGACTTTTTAGGCACCATGTGTAGAGGCGATGCCCACGGGCTCTTAGACGGGCGAATAATGCCTAGGTCTAGCATGTGCTCGAATTCGGAGCGTGCAATTTTGAGCTTGTCGGGGGTCATGCGCCTGGCTTTTGCGAACACAGGCGGACCTTTCGTAACGATGTGATGTGTCGCGGCGTCGGTTACGGAAGGCAACGGGACGGCAGGACGGAAGGCCTGCGGAAAACTATCGAGCAGCGTTTGCCCGACGGGTGAAGTAAGTTGAGTCGCGTACACGGGACTGATTGACGCGGTGTCGGTCAAAGTCCCAATGACTGCGAGATTCGTAAGACGGTCGACTAGACGGTGTCGCTTAACGTCGACGAGTAGGTCGTAATGACGTAAGAAGTCGAGACCAAGGATAGGCGTTTGAACATCCGCAACGAGGAATATCCATTTGAAAGCGCGTCGGAGGCTGAGATTTAGCGTGCGCGAGCGTTGACCATATACGCGGATAATGGTTCCGTTAGCTGCGCGCAATGAGCTAGTCACCTTTTCGGTCGGGTCATTTGGATCACGCGGGAGAACGCTGACTTCTGCACCAGTATCGACGAGATAGCGAACTCCGGTTCTACGATCGGTGACGAAGAAAAGGCGACTGCGTTGACCAGCTACGTCCGTCGCCCCTACGTGCTGGTCCGCCCGTTTCCCTGCTGCTGTCGTTTGAAGGAACAGGGCGGGCGACATGATTTAGCTTGCTGGCCGAAGCGTTCGTGGTACCAGCAGTAACCGTTTCTATTCGGTGATCGCGAAGGAGACTTCGAACGTGAACGCGAACGGCTCCTAGAGCATTTACAGCGGTTATGTCTGGAGGCCGAAAAGTCTGCGAATTGTCGAGTCAACGTTGCCATCTGGGATTTAAGCGTAGCGATATCGTTGTCCGGTTTCGTGTGGACCTGCGAAACCTGGCCGTACGACTCCCAAATTCGGTCGGCTGTATCGGCCAGTTTGGGTAAAGGTGCATCCTCACTAGCGCAGAGGATGTGTAGCATCTCGCGCGGAAGTCGTTGCAACCACATTTCCCGAAGAAAAGAATCATCTATCGAAGTGGGTTTAGCTAGGCTCTGCATTTTTCGAAGCAGCTGAGACGGCTTAAGATCGCCAAGATCGGTTTCGTTGAGGAGTTTCGTAACTCGTTGTCGATCGGATAAGCCTGTTCTTCTCAGAACAGCTGTCTTGACTGCATCGTAAGTCTTTTGGTCGTCAGGAAGATCTAGAATGTCATCAATGTCATCGATGACATTTAGCGGAAGCGCGGAAACGACAAGGTGGAACTTGGTCTTTTCGGACCTAATACCACGCAAAGAAAATTGCGACTCTAGCTGACCAAACCAAGACTTAGGATTAGTCTCGCGAAAAGGTGCGATAGGAAGCGTAACTGTGCCGATCTGAACGTCAGAATCTACACGATCAGTTTCCATAGCGAGCAAAATAGCGAGCCAGCAAGATTAAATCGGAAAATGAAAAGTGAAAATCAGACGGGTTAGCGAAAAAATGTGGCCAAATCTGAAAAGAAAGGTTAGCGAAAACTCACCGGATAATGACCAAAATTCGGGGTCACCAATAAAGCGCGAAGCGGGATCGGTACGCTTTAAAACCAATACGCGAAAATAAGGCCAACCTCCGATGAGTGGAGAACACCAAAAGTAACGCTAGGAAAAATTTATTAAGTGGGCGAAAGGCTATCTAGTGCTAAAAATAAGGCACCGAAAGATAGCTAGCTAGGGAAAGGTGTGGTCGCGTGCGCGGAGAGCAAAGATGGCCGCGGAGCCGAGGAGCGTCGCGCCGTTCGAAGGCGGATGCTATGTTGACTCAAACAAACGCGAGCAACGTTCAAACAGGCGAGCGGCTATTTTGCTATGTACATCGAGAAAATATAATTTTGTGATTTTGTAATATTTTACGCAGCATGCGGCAGCCAAACAGGGGAATCTCCAGGTCACTACAAGTTTTTTTAAAAACCAAGTAGCTGTACATTTACCTCGTACTTGTGAATAGAACGTTTGTGTTCACAGCGGGTGCGAGTTCTTCCCTTGATCCGGCTGGGAGTGGCAGAAGGCAGAGGCAAAGAAGTAGCGTTACAACACTGGCGAGAGGAGTCAGAAGAACCCTAAGATTTTAGTCAGCTTTGAACAATTGCAGTTACTTTTACCGCAACAGCAACAGCAGTCGCAGTTCGAACAGTCTCAGAGGCATTTGATCGAATTGCTTTCACAAAAATTAAACGTGCGAGTAGAATGGGAACCGGAACTGAAGCTAACATCACAAGAAATTGTTTCAGAATGCCAGAGTTTGCTCAACTTGAATCTTGGTACAAATGTGGTCGCAAATTCGGATGCCAGGGAAGAGCAAGACATCTGCCACACTGCCACTTCAAAATCAGATATGCCCATTAGACCTGAAGATGCGACGGCAGAAAATCAATGGTATTCCGATTACACAGATGAATACAGGCAAAGAAGCAGTACTCCAACCTGGTCCCGAAGGTTGCAGCATCACCAGTGCGGCCCTGAGCCTCAAGTCAGTCTCTAAACCAGTACCCTGAGCAAAGCGCCTTGCACCAAGCAGGAAAGAAAAGCATTGCAGTTATCATGCTGGGGAAACGGACAGACAGCGTGCCTCATTTCAAAATTGGGAACATGGTGTACGCACGAGACTTCCGAGGACCGAGGAGTTGGTCGACAGGAAGAATGATCTGCAGAACCGGTTGGAGCATCTACTAGCTAATGGTAGGAAATCAAAAATGGGTCAGGCACGTCAATCAGCTAAGGCCGAATCACGGTAAGACTCAAATTCCCCCAGAACCGCCATCCTTACCAAGGGTCATCTTGCTAGACACGTTTTGTTTGGAGGACGATATTGGGCGGTTACGTGGTACACAACATAATAAGATGCAAGCAGCAACTGACGCACAATGCAGGCCGATCCGAAGCGGAGATGAGCACCATGGCTACAGGTTGATCCCCAAAGCGGAACACAGGAGGTCGCTCGGGCGCCACACGACCTGAAATACAAGCCGAGTCGAAAACGAAGGTAACCGTGATGGCTACAAGTGAACTCCAGGATAAAAAGTTACCATCAAGCCCAGGGGTGGAAAATAGGTAGGAGCAATCAAGTTGAAGCGGGAGGTAATAGAAAGGTAAGCGGATCTGAATTTGGGAAGCATCTGCCTCAGTGCGATCAGTCAGGCGATCAATCGAGTAGGTCAGGGAGTTTTTAAAAATCCCAGCTAGCTGTACATTTACCTCGTACTTGTGAATAGAACATTTGTATGCAAAGCGGATGTGAGTTATTACCTTGACACGGCTGGGAGTAGCAGAAGGCAGAGGTAAAGAAGAAGCGTTACAACACTGGAGGCAGGAAAACAAAAGTTGGAAGTTGTCCTGAGGGGGAAGATCCTCTGAAATTTGGGAGCATATTGTGTCCGCAACGCGTTTACTGCTTCTATAGCTGTTCTAGTTGGACCCTCAGTCGTTCGGAGCGGAGGAATGCCCTGCCTCATCTTACGACCGCCACTGCCATAGGTGTACAGCTGTTTGTGGTTAGCGCTGAAAGTTTTCACTACATTCTGCTGATACGCAAAGTTGTCATCTCTGAGCAGTTGAGTGCATTGGTTACATTGGGCTACGTAGTTGTCCCAATTATCTGGCGTTGGTGTTGAACTGTACTCTCGCCAGGCTGCGCTGCGTACAGTCCTCTATTTTTTAGTTCTACTCTCACAAAAGAAACAATTTTAGGCCCATTGTAAACCATTGGCTCTGAGGCATCCGTAACCAGTTGATTGAATTCGCTGACGAATTCAAGCCAAGCGACTTCCTGGTGGCCTTCAGCGAAGAACGACCAGGTTGTGGCACTAACGAGCTGGGCTAAGCGGTCGTAGCGCGTAATGGTGTGCACCATCTCAGTGTTCTGGTGAGGATATTTCGAATAGCAGATGGAGTTGAAACAGCTGACTGCATGATCACTGCGACCCAAAGAGCATTCTTCAATCAATACATAAATCATCCGTTCTTTCTTGGGCGGCGGTTGCGCCCCATTTGGCCTCGTCCGTGGTGTCCATCCTCTGATTCCATCACAAACTAAACCCATGACCACTGACAACTAGGGTCAGCAAAATATGCCCACAGGCCATGGGCGACGGCGGTACACCACCAAGAATTTCAGGCTAGTTGCGATATGACGCAGCCCATCCCAATAAGACACGATGGCTATCTAGTGCTTTTCGGGGTTTGTTATATCTGGCTTATAAGCCTCTGCGACGCACTCATTAAAAGTTACTCAGGAATTCCGCTACTCATGAAAAATTCACACGTTTTCACAATATTGTAAGGTGAGGGGCTGCTTGGCAGTACTTACCTGAGACTATTATCGCCTTCTGTGAAGGTGCAGCAAGCGTTCTCCACTGTCTTGGTCGTCGAAATTTTCCCACTTCAAGTGGCAACAACCCGGTTCCCAAAACCAACCAAATAATCGAACTCATTATAGTGTCATTGGCTGCGTATTAGTACGGCTGCTGTTAAAATTATTACACCGGTTATTTCAAACTACCCTATGTCACGACCTTTTAGCTGGAATGACGCACGCAAATGCTTTACTTCGCAACGTGATATCCAGGTACCTTGACAGCTCATCCTTATGCAGTTGTTCGGTTGACGGAATTTACCAGCGGACACCTAAACTGGTGGTTTCGGTCAAATTTGGATCATAGGCTTACGTTAGATGTCGCTGTAAACTTGACTGTGCACTGAATCCTGTCATATCTGTTGCAGATCTGTTGCGGTGGAGGAGATCAGCGTTGCAATTGCTGTCAGCTCGCCTCATCGTGCGGCATCGTTGGATGCTGTTGCCTACATCATCGAGCAGATCAAGCGCCGTGTTCCAATATGGAAAAAGGTGAAGTTCCGAAATTACTTATCATCAGTGAACTGGCTTATAGGAAGTCTACAGTGACAACACTTCCAGTTGGAAACGTAACACGGAGTACAATGTGTAGTTTTTGACCGAGTTGAGAGACTTCGAAACGAAGTTCATTTTTGCTGTCAACTGATAGCTTGCGATGAATCCCTCCATGTTTCCATGCTTCATATCGTGTGAATTCCTCTTAACTTCGCTATTTTTACTACTCTGTGTTATAGCTCACTAGTGCCATGTTTAATTGATCAAATGAAATTTCATTCCAAATGCGCCTGTCTTTTTACCCATGGGCACTAAGATAGAAGCTGACTAAAACATCTTTGTTACTGTTATCGGATCGAATGCTGGTCACACCCTTCATATCTAGTCATTGTATGGTATAAAACACCGCATTGGGACCGAATTTCAATAATCGTACTGTAAGTTGAACCGGAGGAAACCGAATGTCTCTCTGAAAGGTAAAAGGATACAAACGAAGCGATTGAAACTCGCAGCAATAGTTTGACAGTGAAGATGACTGCTTGAAATGATGGATGCGCGTGCCAAGAGATCTTATTATCCAATTGGTTCAAAGTCTGTCATTCACAATGGTTACCATGACTTCGTATAGAGCATCAGAGTAAATGCTAGACGTTAAACTCTGTGGTCGGCACAACATGAATGGCAGCCGCTGCCTCAATCTAAATCTTCTGATAAACTCGCTTGACAAACAGCAATGGGAGTTAACCATATGGTCCGAAAACGCCCGCCTGATTTTCAGTGGGTGGGCTCAAACGCCGTCAGTCGCAAACTCGATGTATTCTGGCGGTTGGACTTCGATGTCACTAATTGCAACCCAAAGTTTCATTGGACAATCCTTTGGGAAGTCCACTGATCGCCTTCCTTGGGATTTGCGGAGATCTGCGGGTAGAAATTTGGTCGGTACTCTGTCAAGGCACACGTGCGGCGCAGTTCATCATGCGCACAGTGTCGTCTTGAAAGCGCTCTCCCTCTCTCTTCCTTTGCAACGTATCTCTTAAATGTCAAAGATACAGTTGGCGACCGTTTTTAGTGGATTATTTTGGCACATCTAACACTGTTTCACACCCACGCGGACAGATTCCACCTGTTTTCGTTCAACGAAGATATTAGTGCTAAATAGTTTGACTGTTCTGTGCTAGGCTTACAAATCTCTCTCTCTGACTCCCCTAAATCGAACAGGAAGACCCCATGCTAACATAGTGACATAGAGGCAGATGCACAAGTTACTTTAAAAGCGTCGAATAGAGAGTTACCCAACAGTCTACTTGGATAGGTGCCTCGGCATTTCTTGTCTTCGCAAACTCAGAATTTGTTTTGTTTTTACTCGTTTAACCTATTGATCCTCGTCGCTTTCGCTTTCTCACTAAATCACCCGTTTCGGGAGACGACGTGTTAGCGCTTGCTACCTACACAAAACCTCAGTGGCACTGGTCGATAATGGCAAAGAGCATTTGGAACGCTTCGGTCTACCAAGGCACACCCTCGTACACATTCTTCTTTACACCCATCTACCCATGACAACGAGACTGTCCCTCAACATGGTGCGATGGTTTGTGTGCCGCAATGATACATTGAGTTTTGATGGGTGGTGCTTTTTTACTTGATTGATCAATGCTTAGAAGCCAGACAAAGTCTCCTGGCCATCCAGGTTGGGGAACGGATACAAGGTGCATCCTTACTCTATAAAACGGATTCTTCGTAGCCCAGTTCCAAAGCACCGCTGCGCGTGGCCAGGTTTTGAAACAAAAGCTTTGGTTGAGAACCCTAATTGCTCTCCTCTCTAGGTCTAGGCAACCTAAGAAGTATCCTGCCCACGCAGTAAAACAAAGTGACTCTACCGTCAAACAATCTTTTGAGGCTATGGCCGTCGCAGAGGATAATCAACGGTGCCATCTATCTGTTATATTTGAGGGAACGCCGCCTCTGAAATAATTGCGTGACAAGATTGTCGCTCGCACGGTTGGAGCACGCCTACGATGACGACTTGTAACGCTGGCCACTCGAACGGAGTTGCGCTGACCTGATGACGCCAGCTTAGCCGGTGAGACGGAAAATTGAGCGAGCGCGTGAAGGATCCTAGCCGCACTTGTTCGGATAGACGCTGAGGCCTCGGAAACGGACGCACACGAGAGGGGGTTATGGTAGACGCGCGCTAATGACTTAGACGCGAAGGCTGGCCAGCTAACGACTCACACGCAATCACGTGACCCGACCGACTCCCAACTGAGGCGAAGAGAAAGAGAAGGCAAGTGGCCCTCTTTTACGACCAAAAACGGCGATCACAGCCAGTGCTATGGGTTATTAAGTTAGGGAAAACAGTCACCACGCAGAGGTGGTAGTTTGCAAATGAACATTGTCGAAAGGTGCGCAGTTGGGACGCGTCTCGGAGTGGCTGAGCTCTGCTGCGATGTGGGGAGGAATTGACCCTCGTTTCCACAGCCATTCTGCTGGGGTTTCTGGCGCGTTTTTGCGGGAATATTTGACGTGCCCGCAACACTATCCTACATAGAACAGGGTGGATAAGGGTTTGGATGCTAATGATCAGGCCTTCCCGTCTTCTTGTTCCACCTCTTGCACCATTTCATCATTATCAGCCCGCCTCAAATACATTTTTATCCCCCTTGTTTTCACCCCTCAATTGTTAGCTCTCATCTGTCACGCTTCAATATTCGCTTATCTTGTAGTTTCAACTCACACGCCTGCTCAGTCAACAAGTTCATCTTCAACTAAGTGAACAACGTCAGTTTATCCGTTTCACTTTGGAGTCCTCGATCCTCACTAAGACTGGTATTACGCAACAGGCACACTTTGTTACACCTTGGCCTACAGGCAGCACTTGCCTTTCCAATTACGATCTCATCCCAAATTAATTATATGATATCTAACATTATACTACATGCATTTTGAAGCTTTTTGTAGTTGACAATTTTTGGCACTTCAGCCTTTTTGTGGCAGATTAGCTGGGACGTACTTGTCACCCTCAGTTGAGATGCATTGATGGTGATTTGAGGACACCCATCTAAATTGGATTATGAAACGTAGTGGACTACCCATCGATGGAATAAAGTGACTGAATCGAATGTCTTGCAGACAGACTACTATGTAGAGTTTTATTTAATCCATCACGATTAGCTTACTGATCAGACAAGCCAGCTACCAAACCGGAAGAGCATAGGACGGCCGTTTGTCCTCCTGGAACTCGTCAGTTGTGCGGATTCTTGCGGTCCCCTTCTGGGAACCGAATGCATAACCGCAAGTGGCTTACACCACCAACCAGCAACAGAGGACGACGGAGCGTGGTTCGTATACTGTCCGTGAGAAGTGGCGCTTGGAGGTTGCATCAATTACGAAGTACCGCAGTAACATCTAAACCACTGGACTGAACTGGAACCATAATGAATGAGGAGTAACTACGCGAGAGTAGAGTGTAGCATTGGAGCGGAGCAACTGGTGGTGGGAAATCACTTTAAGTAAAACAAATGAACGCCTAGAATGTACGAATCAAAATAAAACAGCTGTCGAAACGGCAGCTGTTTTCCGCATCATTTTGAGTTTCTCTCCATATCGAATTGATTGAGAGGATGCTTAGGTGAACATATTAGGTGAGGAGAGGGAAAGTGGGAACTGGTTGGTTTGGGTTGGAAGCTAGAGGTAAATACGGAAATCACAATGAGGTTGTGCACGGAGCTTCCTATATCTGGATTAGTTGCCGATTGTTGCTTATTTCGTGGTGGACTATGGTTCATCAATGGTGGGCCGTCATCGCGGACTTGTTGAATAGCAAGACTGGTGGATAGACAACGGAGAATCCTAGACGTCGTCACTGGTAGTGGGCAACCAAACACTCAATGGCTAAGTCGGTCGCTTCGAAGTTAGAATGGTTTCTTCTTGCTGCTTATGCGGTATGATTCGAGGTTGCTGGTATATCCTATAGAAGATAAGATGACTGTTCAAACAGTCGAATCTCTTTATAGTGCAACTCAGGAAGGACTGTCACGTAATCGGGGCAAGCGGTGTGTTATCGAATATATAATGAAAACACATAACGCAAAAGGAACTACACTTAGGTTTCCGAAAGTTATTATTGGTGACTTCAACACGGGAACTGCACCAAGTGTATAACTGCTCGATTCACAAAGACAGCAGATGAACTGTAATTGGACCTACTTACCTCGTCAGTTGGTTGCCTTGAACTGGGGCTTGACAGGTGGGAGACACAGACTAAAGGTTTTTGTGTTGATTGCTGTAGAGAAGGTTGCCAAAATTAAAATCGCTTGTGAGGTATGGGTGGGTAGTCAAAACAGGCAACATTGAGATGGCCGATGGACGGTTTCGGTAGCAATTGTGGCCGAATATGTGGGATATGGGCCTTCGCTGCAGAACTCTGGAAGGAGTTGTTTAGTGTGTGAAGTGGGTGACGCGCTGTCAGTGCTTGAAAAGCGGTGGGTGTAGGGAAGGAGTTCTCTGTGTGTTTGCATATTCATGGTCTACTCACGAAGGGGACTCAGGCATGGCAAGCGCATGCGCTGTTTGATGCTCATGTTGAAACAGACTCTCCAACTTGTCCTATTTTAGACTAACTCGTCTGGTGCGCATTACAGGCCAGCTTGCATACTGCTGCGAGTGCACAGGAAGACGAACGAAACGCTTTCCCCCCAATTAAGGTCGGATGCGGCGCAGTCTAAAAACTTGCAAAACGCATCGAACTGTGAAAACTCTAAAGCTGTCCCACATTCACTGGTAAATTTGCATAAGCATCCGTTGTGTGGTACCCGACTATCCGCGAAGTCATGGATAACAGTTACGGTCATGCGGTACGGTACGGGAAATATACGTAAAGCAGTCGACTTAGCTCAGGACATATAAGAATCCCAGAGATGAGGTAAATGTAAGTGTATATGTGAGAACCGAGAGGGCTGCGTTTAACTTAATGTGCTTCAAATCACTAACAGTGAAGGTAAGCGCACACATTCATGCAAAGCTTGGCTGAACAAAATCTTCGGTGACCCCGGATCCGGCAACGCTTGCACAGCGGAATCCCCAAATGGGGTGAGTGAGGAAGAAAGGCAACTCGAGTTTAGAACAGTATTGGATGTATCCGTAGACTGAGTGGCTCCATCTGTGATTGGGAGAGGAACAGGTTGCTCAACCAGTTCAGAGCGCTGTGAAAGTTTTCAAGTCTGCGCCAGTGTTGAAGCAGCAAAGTGGACAGCGGCCACAAA